ATAATTGAAAGACTAATTCTATAAATTTATGTTTCTCTCTTGCTGCTGAGTTTTTAAAAAGTATCTGGAATAGAATATTTAATTATAATTTGTGTCCTGACGCAGGCAACATTTTAAATACGAATGCACATTGTCTTCAAAATAAATATAAATATATACTTTCAATTCATTTAGACACGGTTTTTGCACCTTTGAAATTGCAATCAATGCAAGCACTATTAGGTACATTAAAGTCTAATGGATCTTATTTCGCACCCGCACACAAAAATATCTTTCGGGCAGGTATTTTGGGTTGGGGGTTTTGCCTATTGTTTGACGTGTCCTTCAACAAATAATATCTTATTTTATTTTTCTCGCACTAAAATTGATGTGCATGACAGCGAAAAGCAAGAGAATAAAGAAAAAAATTCATCACATATTTCTGCGTAGACAATAAACATTGAAAACGAGGCAAAAAATTAAAATTAAATGAAAAAATACTTACGTTCGCAAAGCAAAACACAAGCAAAATACCTTGGCAACGCGACAACAAAGAGCGCACATAGATTAAGTAACTAAGAAATGGGCTACGTAGTACACTGAAAGAAAAGAAGATGACGAAAAATTAGAAAGGCTAACAACATGTGCAAACTAATAATGCGTGCGGTACGTTAAGATAACTTGGTAAAGATTTAAGACAGTACATGGTTAATATAAAGATGAAAGTTGAAATAGGGTTGGCGAAATATACTGAGAATTCGCTGCTTTAATTTATAAGAACATTTCTAAGACATATATGTAATAAGAGTTTTGATGATAAAGGGGAAGACTGCTTAAGATCGTAGATATATAGACCCAGCAAAGAACTAGAGTTAGACTTCGATTGGAAGCCCCATTACAGATTAAAAGCAACCAGGTTTGATTGATATTGAGATAGAATTAAAAATATAATATATTACCTTACCTAAGATCGTATTTATGCACCCAACTATGAGCTAAAGAGAGATATTGCTTACTTAAGATGAGAGCAACAGGAGAATCCATTTCAGACATTAAATAAGAGATGATCGACTGAGCTTGAAAACGATTCAATAATGGGAGATATATAGCTTACTTATGAAGGTAATCATATACCCAAATACGAGTACGAACTAACTGAAGAGACCTCATATTGAAGATTTATTTGAAAAGATTATGTTCTATATGCAGATAGAGTTAGAGGTCAGAACTGGAGATCTTGCTCTTAAGATCGTAGTTATATACGCAACTACGAGCAAGACGAATTTTCGGAGTAAGATTTCTAGATTGCAGATTTAAAGATTTAAAGAGAAAGTTGTTAGACCAAGATTAAGATATAATAAATGATGTGAGATCTCTAGCTTACTTTAGATTGTAGATTATATATATAATATCACATTCAGAGCTTTCTCAATTTCAGACTGTAATTAAGCGATGATCGTCTAAGATTAAGATATCGTTAATGGTTATACACATATTTTAATAAAAATAGATCTATGAGTAAGGGTTTGGTGTTAAGTGCCGCACTTTGACTTAGCCCCAGCTGAGAACTTGCACTTAACTTGTCAAATGAATCAACTGTTGATTACAATTAGTCGAAAAACAAATTTTTGGCAGCACTCGACAACATTGGCAAGAGTAAGAGTATTAGCAAGCCGCTTTAAATATATATATACAATGTATATAGTATAAGAGAAGAACCGCGTAGAGAATTCACCTACGCCTAAAATTAGACGCATGATGCGATCTGTCACAGACGCAGTTTGTATTTGGGCCCGTGGGTAGCTAAGGTAGTGCAATGCTTGGCATGTAAATGCGCTATTTGTGACAAGTTCGATGTCTTTATCAAGCGTATAAATAAAAAAAAAAAATGCGCCGAACAATGCGATTTTTGACAATGCCACAAAAATCAGCAAACAGCCAACTGCCAACAGCAACCGCAGCGACAGCGGCAGAGACAGAATCGAGCTGAATGCTGAGTGTTAAGAAAATGAATTTTGTGGGTCAGACATTGGGCCAAAAATAGCGCAGAATGCAAGCGAATGAAAGCGACTTCGAGGTGAGCTGACAACATTTGAGGGCAACTTCCAGCCGAGCAGCTAAATGAACTTTATAATACTCTGTTTGAACTGTTTCTGACCAATTGGGTATATATTCTGTGATTTCCTTTAGCAAGCAGACGAGCATTGAGATCGAACAGCTGAATGCGCGCGTCATTGAGGCGGAGACCCGGTTGAAGACCGAGGTGACCCGCATCAAGAAGAAGCTGCAAATTCAGATCACCGAGCTGGAGATGTCGCTGGATGTGGCCAACAAGACCAACATCGATCTGCAGAAGGTTATCAAGAAGCAGTCGCTGCAGCTGACCGAACTGCAGGCCCACTATGAGGATGTGCAGCGCCAGCTGCAAGCCACCCTCGATCAGTATGGCATTGCCCAGCGCCGTCTGGCCGGTCTCAATGGTGAGCTGGAGGAGGTCCGCTCCCATTTGGATAGCGCCAACCGTGCCAAGCGCACCGTCGAGCTGCAGTACGAGGAGGCCAGCACACGCATCAATGAGCTGAACACTGTCAATGTTAACTTGGTATCGCTGAAGTCCAAGCTGGAGCAGGAACTGAGCGTTATCTCCTCCGACTACGAGGAGGTATCCAAGGAGCTGCGCATCAGCGACGAGCGCTACCAGAAGGTTCAGGTTGAGCTCAAGCATGTCATCGAGCAGGTGCAGGAGGAGCACGAACGCAGCATCAAGCTGGAGACCATCAAGAAGTCTTTGGAAGTCGAAGTCAAGGTAAGCGCCAACTCTCTGCGAGATCAATGCATAAATAGATTAAATGTTGATGCTATACACATTTCCATGCACAGAACTTGTCCATTCGCCTGGAGGAAGTGGAGCTGAACGCCGTTGCCGGTAGCAAGCGCATCATCAGCAAGCTGGAGGCACGCATTCGCGATCTGGAGCTGGAGCTGGAGGAGGAGAAGCGCCGTCATGCCGAGACCATCAAGATCTTGCGCAAGAAGGAGCGCACCGTTAAGGAGGTGATGGTACAGTGCGAGGAGGATCAGAAGAACATCATATTGCTGCAGGATGCGCTGGACAAGACCACTGCCAAGATCAACATCTACAGACGCCAGCTGTCCGAACAGGAGGGCTTCTCCCAGCAGAGCACCACCCGTGTGCGCCGTTTCCAGCGTGAACTGGAGGCCGCCGAGGATCGCGCCGATGTTGCCGAATCGAACTTGAATCTGATCCGCGCCAAGCACCGCACATTCGTCACCACCTCCACCGTGCCCGGCTCTCAGGTGTACATTCAGGAGACAACAAGAACGATCACCGAATAGATGATCACTGGAGACGCCCACACAAACACACACACACACAAAACACAAACACACACACACATTAAACACACACAACCAAACAGCAGCAACATTTTATAATTTAAAAAAAAGTAAAGCAACAAATAACCGACAACAACAGGAACAACAGCTTTCAGAAAGAAATGCAGAAAATGCAGTCAATTTTGAGATTTGAAGATATTTGCTTGAGAAAACTTTTATAATTTAAATTTTTTTCAGAGCTTGCGAGAGTTCGTATAGGTTATACATTATAAATACATAACACTACACATCTCCTATCTATTTATAATAATAATATTTTGAAGTTCATGTAATTTAATTAAAATAATGAACCTAAAATCATATATAAAGAAGAAAAAAAAAACAAACAACAAATAAAATTACCAAAAAAAAGTAAAAGGAAAACTACAGAAGTTTTGCAGCGTTAGAGAGAGAGAGCGAGAGAGCGAAAGAGAGAGAGAGAGAGAGGACGAGAGTTTGCTTATAGAGTTGGCTGATTAAAATTCAAATGAAAAATAAATGAAATAAATGAAAAATATGCAAAGATCAACCAATCGACCCAACAAAACGAGTTACCCGAGTTACAACCGCTTCTGCTACTTGTTTTTAGTTCATTTTATGTTTAGTAGGTAAATATCTGTGTGCTCGTAACGAATTGATTTTACAAATGATTAAAAGAAAAACGATTAAGAAAAACTGAGCAATTTTCATATTTTTACTTTGTATTTTGCAATAAAAACTGAATTTACTTATATAATAACAACAATAACAACAATAACAAACTCAAAACGAGTTGTGTAGTAATTGGGAACTATCACATAATGAAAATTGAGAAACAAACAGGAAAAGTTAACTAAGTTGAGAAACACAAGATATTTGTCATATGTGTAGAAAGAAACGCCTAATTAGTCGACTTCAAAGGAACTGCCCATCATTTGTAATACAGAAGAATTCCTTTTTGATATATGAACAACAAAAATACAGGTTCGAGTCCTCGTCTGCTGTATGGCTGTATTATTGTCGTGGCTAATTAGAAAAGCTAGCTTGTCAGTTTGTAACTTCAACTTAAATTAAAATTAATAATACTATCAGATCACATATTAGTAGCTTAATTATCTCGATGATATAGTCATTGAGGGAGCTGAACAGGGAAGATGCAGATTCGAATCCCCGATGAAAGTATGGATGTAGTATATTCTCTTGCAAGAACATTAGAAGAGTTCAACTTTAAGCAATTGAATTGTTTTAAGTAGTCATGTTGAACAACAAAGATCCGTGTTCAAATTAATGAATGTCTGATTTAGAAAAAAAATCCTTCATCATGCTGAACCTAGAAGAATTCTATTTTAAGCAAGTGGATTGTCTGAATGATCTTTGAAGGCAATTGAACAACGAAGATTCGGGTTCGATGAGGTTTAATAAATGGATGTAGTCTTGTCTAAGCTACTTTAAAAAAGTAAGCTTGACAGTTTGTAACTATACCCTCAATATTATTATAATATTTAATAATAATAAGCCCATTATGTTGAGGATTTTTATCACTCTCCCAGCTCCCATTAGAAAAAGCACACATATATCAATTTACTTTAAACTAATCACTATTTATTAAGACTTTCAGGCAGCTGGACACCAAGGTGACCAATAACTTAGGCAGCAGAGACAGCCAGCTTGGAGCCGGTGTTCAGGGTGACAGTCTTCTCGCCATATGCACCGCCATAGCTGTTCCTCTTGAAGACTGCAAGTGGAAAATTCAGGGAAAAGTCGAGCTTTAGCACGCAGCTCAGGCTGTGTTGGAGGGGGCGTAGAGTAACTAACCTGGATCGATCTCGGCGACGAAGGCGCGTGGTGGCAAAGCAGCGGCATAGAGGTTGTCCAGCGGGCCGTATGGCTTGACCAGCAGAGGCTTGCCCTGTTCCCAGCCATAACGGTTCAGTGCATACCAATCGGCACCATCCAATTTGGCGGAGGAGGCGGCAGCGCCGGCAGCATTGGTGAGAGCAGCCGCTTGAGCCTCGGCGGTTTCGACGGGCCTAATATATTCGCCATAGCCGCCGCTGCGGTAGCTGTTGCCGCTGGGCCTGTAGGCCAGGCAGACGGAGAAGCAGCAGGCCATCAGGCAGAGCAGACGCATGTAGTTGACGGACATGTTTGGATGGTGCGAGGAGGTGACACTTTTGAAAACTAATTAACAATTGCGCGTGGCCAAATTGCTTTTATAGCCATTATATTTGAGCTGGCCAGCGATTTGTGTGTGCGCTTTACGTGACCAAAACCCAGTCGAAGACCCCCAACCAAACCCAGAGTCATGACGAAAACACTTTGGGGCTGAGCTGGTGGGGCTTGCAGCCGGCGCATCGCACCAAAATCCCATTGCCCCGTGTGGCACTGATAAGGCGCCGCAGCGCACTGACGCAGTCATCTTCTTCGGTTACAGAGTTCGGTTTTGGTGTCAGTTTACTCTTAAAAAGAAAAAAAAAGTAAAGTGCTCGTCAAATTGGCAACAACTCGACCACGACCACTACAATGACAAGGCAAAGAGTCAGTGGCTGCTCCATTGATATCGACTGCCCCCTGCTCGGCACGCTCGGCTCGCATTTGGCGTGTGCGGTATCTGGTCTTTGACATGGCTACCTGTCCAACAACAGCATCGCCGCTGCTCAATGAACCCCAGCATCAACTCGGCTGCGGATGCATTCGAATGCACTCGCAATTCGCATTCACCAGCTCTGTGTCATCGGCGATTCCAATGTCGTAGATAGTTCGATTCGTCGATCGGCCCTGCCCTGGCCATTGTCTACTTCTTGCTACCTCTCTTATCTGTGCAGCATGTAACTAGCTTGGCTGATAATCGAACTGCGTTCAAGCACAGCAGCTCTTTACTTTAGCTCCAAATTGAGTGAGTGTATTGCGTGTGTGTGTGTGTGTGGGAACCACATAAGTGGTAGGTTTTTTTTGCAAACGTGAGGCGCCGTTTAACAAGAAAGCTTTAAGCTTCTTGTAATCATAAAAAGTACAGTAGAAACTCGTATAAGAACAACTGGTAAGGTTTTCTTATAGGTAAGACCGGATGCCTACAAGACTCATATGTTTTACAACAAATAATAAATAGATTTCTACTTTGAATCCAAGCTATGAATAATATTTGTTAAAATAATAACAATATATATAATAATAATCATTATGAGAATAATGATATTGATAATAAAACAATAATAATGATAATAATATAACAATAATAATTAAGCATATTCATACCTAATTTTCTGAGATAAATTTATAAGTTTAGAGGGTTATTTTTACTGCCAGATTTATTATTATGCCAAGACTTTAGAAAATACTTTATAATAATGAATAAAGTTTAAGCTTTCATTCATTATAATGATTGCAGATGCCAAAAAAAAATTGCTACCTATGGTTAAGCAACATGAAATAATAAAGGTTGCCATAATTAAAGCATTGAAGTTGATTAGAATGAATTGGTATCGACTGGCATGATAACATAATATGGAATAACGATTTTAATTTTATGGGAGAGCATCACGCTCGTGGACAGCAGACATACTATAACCAAGGCGGAGTTGGTTCAAGTCCGAAATTCCAATTAAAGTTTTGTTATGAGTTCGGCTTAACAGAAATCAGTTTTCATTTGTGAACAAAATATGGCTTGGCTCACAACAAAAAGAATTTATGGGTAATTCGGCACCAAAGTATAAATAGCTTTGTCGCCAGACATTGCATTTATGCCATGTTCGGCATATGCCAATTCTGGGTAGAGCTCAACTTTAGCCCGCATTTTCCATATGAAAATTTGCACTGCTAACAATATTTTCAGTAGCGGAACGGGCAATTGTCAACCAAAAATTAAATGTTTACTTTAAAATGTTAAGTATATGAGTCGCCAAGGCTTAAAGAAATGCCTGGCTTTAGGAAAGTGGAAAACCAGCTTCAAGCCCAAGTTTTAGCACAATTTTAAATAGAAGCTGCTTTGTTGAAATTATTATTAGTAAGATTAGAAAAGATATGCAAGAAATTATACTTTTCAAATTGAAAATAAATAATAATAATTTTACCCTTAGCTCAACTTAAACCTGCGAACTTATTGGCATAAATTATTTCCAAAATAATTTGTATAAATTTATAATATGCATAGGCACGGGCACGCTCGGCATTCCCAATTAATTTGCAATCAAAACTGAACTCTATGCGAAAACAGCTGCAGCTGCTGCAGTTGGGGCTGGCAACTGGCCAAACATTGGCGAACCAAACCAACTGCCAGTTACCGGAACCATTTATCTGACCCAACTCCCCCATTGGACCCAAGGCCACACACACACACACACATTATCAATACAACATTTGGGTTTTGTTTTTTTTCTGCAATTTATTATTCACGCTGTTTTCACAACGAACTCTGCCATGTTACTGTGCTGAGCTTCACGTTTGGGCTGATTTGGAGAGAAGTAGCCAAGAAGGGAGGGGATTGCTCCTCTAGTACTTGGGTCCCTCGTTGTGGTAGCCACCGTGGCTGCCATAGTTGTTCTCGGGCAGGTACAGCTTGGCAACTGGGGGAGCGGCACGCACGGGCAGCACCACCTTGGTGTACTCTGGTGGGGAAGCATAACGGCGGTAGCTGTTCTGGCCGGGGTACAGCAGAGTGGCGCCAGCGGGCTGGACGGACCAACGGGGACGGCCATAGCCGCGCTGGTGGCCGCCATAGTTGCCACCATGGTTGCCGCCGGCGATGTGTCCGCCATAGCTGCCGCCGCCGACGAGGTGTCCAATGTTTCCGTGTCCACGGCCGTATTCGTTGTGGCCGCCCTGGTAGCCAGAGTCGAGGAGGATCGGACGCAGTTGCTCGCTGCCGCCATAACGGGGACCGGCAACAATCTCTACGGGACGCTGATCATTGCCACCGGCAGCAGCGGCGCTCGATGCAGCAGCAGCGCTGCCGTCTCCACGCTGGCCATAGCTGGAGATGCTGCGGTGGTGACCGTAGCCGGGGCCGCCGTGCTGGCCTCCGTAGTTGCAGCTGCCAACGGCGAGGCAGACGCTGATGAATACCGCAAGAGTCTGTGTGTATTGGAAATCGATGCTTAAAAAACTGGCGACCAACGGAACGGGAAATGGGCAGACGTCGTCATGCTATGCTACTTACGGCGAACTTGTTCATGGCTGTGCTTATTGGATTTTTTTTTGTTGTTTTTGGGCGCTCGCTGCTTGAAACAGTTGGCACAATTAACAAACCAAATGCCAAGCACACTTCTTTATATAAGCAAAATAATTGAAGCACTCGAAACGTGATCTCGCTGCGAATTTATCACGGCGCTGAGTTCAGAGCTCAGCTTGGCTCAGTTCAGCTCGGCGTCGTCTTCATCTCGCTGCAACGGTGGGCGGTTGTTGATGTTCTTCTTCTTCTTCTTGTGCTGCTGCTGTTTTCTCGTGGTCCAAATCTTGCAGCTCGATATCACAGCCCACTCAACCACCTCGAGCTGCTGCTTGTTCGCCCGAGACTCTGCTATCGCCGACATTCGAATGCTGCACGGCCGACCCCAATACATTGGGGGGCTGCTGTGCTGTGATCTCTCTCCCTCTCTCTTGAGGTGCTCCAAACATTGTGCATGTTTTGTTAAATGGAGCTGTTGCTTCGTGTGAGCATGCAGCTGGATAAGCACAGCGGCCTCTTGAAGCTAACTGTGCTCTATTTGGGCCCAAAACATTTCAGCTGACAATTTGTGGATTAGTGAAAACTGACTTGAAAAATACCAGACCATTTTTTATACGATTATAATTTTGTCATGAAATGTGTAAAACATAGAAAACAGCCCATTAGGAATATATATTCTTGGTCAGCAAAGCTATTCACATGAAACTTAGCCTAGGTTCGTCTTTTTGTATAATCGGTCGATAATTAAGTTTTTGTATAAGAACTTGTTTGTTATTCAGAAAATCTTGACCAAACATCAACAACATTTTCACTATTTTTTCCACATGTAAGATAATTCTTCCCAATATTGGTCCGCTATATTATATAGCTGTGCAATATTCGGTTTAAATGTGTCTTATGCAAACTTTACAAAAAAGTTGATCACACTTGAGCCAAGTCTTAGCAGCCCTCGGACTGCTATATCATATAGCTCTGGGGGGAAAAAGTTTTCTGTATATCGAAATACTTTAAGCAATTATGAACTTCAACCAAATCCTCCTTTTCTTTCCTTTCCTTTCCAACTCTTTTCAAGCGTATCTGCATCTTGTCCAGAATACAGCTTTAGTCTACTAATCTCTTGACTAAAGACAACTCTTTGCATATATAAACTTCCATCAAATAATTAAGAATTGCTTAAATTGATGAACGAGTTTTTGAGCCCCATCGTTCCTAGTCGTTGCTTCCACCCGCTAATCCCAGCTGCAACCATTTAAGCCCGACGCTCAAAAGTATGTCACACTTTGTGGTGCAGATAGACCCGACTGAAGACAACTCTTAGAATTTGGTTTTTTGTTCAACATGCTCCGCGGCTTTCAGCGGGTTTCTTTTATTTTCTCAACAGTTGCTGCTTGAGCTGATCCATTGAACAATGAGGTCATTGGCTCAATTGGATGTGGCTGAGTTAATAGCCACCACGTCCATAGCCACCGCGGCTGTGGCCGTTGTAGCTGGCGTCCAGATCGTAACCGATGACTGCAGCCTGCTCGTACCTGCCTGGGCGGATGCCAGCCGAGGCAGCGGCCGCAGCGGCCGAGGCACTGGGGTTCGATGAGCGCGAGTACAGGGGCTGCGCATAGCCGCGGTTGCCATAGCCCTGGTTGCCATAGCCATGGTTGCCATAGGAGCTGCCGCCATAACCAACCTCCTGAACGTAGGCCACTCGACCACCTTCATAGCCACGGTTGCTGCCATAGGGATTGGCATTGATGCAGGCGACCAGAGCGAGGACAGCAAATGCAATCTGTTATTGGAGGAAACAGGATTAGTCAGCTATCCAGATGTCCAAGTCCAGGATTGCTTACCAGGAACTTCATGTTGAACAGCTAGTTTTGTTGGTTAGGTTAATCAATCAAACTATGATTTAGCTGACCGCAACGAGCGCTTTTATATGCAAAAATTAGACTGGATATTTACGTGACACTGCCCAAATAAACACTTTAAGTAACCTATATACCATATAATAATAATTTCTATGGCAGCGATATTTCATAATTCTAACCAGCAAGCACATAAGACAACAATTATTGGCGACATATTATGTACTTGGCTCGTATTTCGTTGTCGTGTCTGGCCAACAATTATAAAATCGTTCGGTTACGCGATGTTTTCCATTGTTTTCACAGTTTTGATAATGCCAGGGCAAAAAGCCCGACCCACTCCGACACAAGCTCGGCACACAGCGCGAAAAACAAATTAAGCATTTCGTGAGTTCTCAATGAATTCACGAGCGGAGCGCGCGACTTTTGTAGCCCCATGTTTAAAATAATATATTATACTATTTTTTCCACTTACACAAAAATTGCACGTTCCTAGGGCTAAAATTTAATAAAGCCAGTCATGGACTGGACTTGTAGCTGTAAACATGGGCCGCTCGAGACCCGCTCGAAAAGAAACTCATGAACTTTGAATGCAAGAAAACACATAGAAAGACATGTGAAGAAGAAGGACTTAACATAAATAATTACTTATGAACATAGACTCTAAATGCATAATTTCACTATGAAACTTTTATGCAAAAATGCATTTAAAAAGATTCCAAATATGCATTAAAAATCAAAGACAAATCTTAAGAGCTATAAATTTATGTAGAAGATAAGCATATTGTGGAATACTCCAATTTAAAAGAAATTATACATATATATATATATATATATACCCACAATTTCAAAGTAAAACTGATTTATGCTTTGCTATTAATTGAACTCAATTAAATAGCTGCAAAGAAGTCTACTTTTTCGTAGGACTCCAAAAACCCAAAGAGAAAATGACAAAAAATTGTTTATGTTTTTATGTTTTGTTGCTTTTATTACTTTCTACTGTCTTATGCGTCTATATAAGTCCCAAGCTTGTTAGCTTTGTATTCACTGTAGCGTTTCTCAGCTCGTTTAGTAGCTGGAGTTCTTGTAGCCGGAGTTCTTGTAGCCAGAGTTCTGGCCAGCCACGGAGCTGGAGGCGGCGGCTGCCGAAGCGCCCTGCGCCTGTTCGCCATAGCCGTAGCTGTGCTTCTGGCCATAGCTCTGCTGAGGGCCATAAGAGCGCTCAACAATCTGACGTGGCTCCTTCCAGACGAGAGGAGCACCAGCATTGGGTGCAGCCAGACTAAGCTTGGCCAGGGAGATGGCCTGACGATCGACGGGCGCGGCGCCATATCCACGGCTCGAGGTGTAGTGAGCGGAGACGGGCACCTCAATGCTGCGGCCGTAGTTGTTGTTGCCATAGCCGCCACCGTAGCTGCCACCACCATATCCACCAGCTGGGACGATAGCCTTGACGGTCAGAGCGGGCTGCACCTGGTAGGCATAGCCGCCGACGGGCACGCTGCCGTAGCCCTGGCGACCGTACGCATTGGCCGAGACGGCGGCGATGGCGCAGACGAAAATGCACTGGAGAACATAATTGTTGCAGATAAGTTGGAGGCTACAGATGGCAGCAGGATGCGCTGGCACTTACCATGAACTTCATCATTTTGTGGCTAATTGGCTTAGTTTGTGCGGTAGCTAACTAATGTCTGGAGTGGAGCAACCAGTTTTGCTTATATACTAAAAATCCAGGCAATGCCAATTCGCTTACGTGACGAATATGATGCAAGTTTGGCTCTAGCAGACGGTCTCTCGTCTGTGCCATGCCAAGTTCTTTGTGTTCCAGCCGCAATCTGAAGACGTCGCCGCTGGCGACGTGCATTTGCCAACCGACTTGGGTCCAAAACTCGCTGCACTAATTCGGCGCGGGTCCAGATAGCGCAGGCGTCTGTATGCTTACGCCATCGTCTGAGAGTGCTCCCTGCTCGTCATTATGCAAGCTGGCGATGACTCGTGCGTGCCCAGCACAGCGAGTGGGCGGCATTTTCTTTGCTTTTTTTTTTTTCTTTTTTTGCTTCACTATTCATCACTGTTTGCTCCACTGTGGCCGAGCTTGACACAATTTCCAGCAAGCGCAGAAATATAGCCAAGGCATTGACTTGAGCTTTCTGCTGCGTTGGTAGAATTTATATACAAAAGCAAAAAAAGTTACGATAAAATTACAATAAAATTATAAACAATAAACAATTAAAAACTATGCAACGGCAAGCACTTTACTCAAATTAAATCATAATAAAACGCTGCAAATAATTTGAAATTATTTTCGAATGCGCTACACTCAGTCACAGCGGCATATTAGTTGGATGAACAGAGCAACAGAATGAGGAATTAAATACACATGATTTATTTCCAGCGAATTATGAAATCGAGTTTGTATTAAGTTTTTCACATGCAGTCCATTTCTTGTATTCTTTCTTGTATATAACATAAGAACAAGTAATTGACTGTGCAGAGAACCTTAAGATTTCTGTTTTAGTAAACATTTAAGCAAGCAAACTGTTAAAACTAGACAAATCTTTGCAATAGATATTATTAAACAATATATAACATCTTGGCTTAGAAGTAAACGCAGTTAATTTGAATAAGATTCCCAACCCCCTATACTCTTCATCACTTCTCTCAGGGTTTTCATCAAATCCCAAATGAGAATGAGAATGAGAATTTTAGAAGCCGATTACTCGAGCATCAATAGCTTGTTCAACAACATACTTAACAGAAGCTGGCCAAGATTGGCAAACAGCAGAGTGCTGCAGCTCTCTAATCTTGATGAGCGACACGTCTGGCTGGCGGCCATGCGACTTTATAAGAGCCGCGCGCCCGTTGGGCCAGTACAGAAAACTTGTTCCCAAAATGCGTAGTCTGTGCTTCAAGGTAAGATGTGGTTTGAACAAAAGCTGTGTGTGTGTGTGTGTGTGTATTGTTATTAAAGCCTGATCCTTTGCAGATCTTACAAATGGCCATGCTGTTGGCGTTGGTTATGTACCAGAAACGCATCGCGAGCGTTGCCGATGCCGAGCAATTTGAGAGCGATTGCCGCTGCCAAAGGCGGGGCTAAGCTAAGCTGACAGCGTAATTGAGACGAGAGTACACACATCAATAAACAAGGCAGGTCGATGTATACACAAAATTTGAACTGTTTTTATAAAACTCGTAGACGACACGTACAAAACACTTTACTTGGCTAGTCGCTGGCCAGCTGAGCGCCGCACATGGCTTTCAGCCGGGTGAGCAGCGTGTGCAAATGGTGTGAACGCGAGATTGACTCTGCTGCTGATTGCTGTGCGCCTATGCCATGTTTCCCAGTCAAGGTTTCCATATACATGCGCTTATACAATGCCGACAGCTGTTTTGGATCCTTGCCGGTCGTTAACAGCAATTTGATGAGCGTTTTCAATGCGTTCTGCAAGCGACTCTCAAAGAGCGTTAAATGTGCTATGAATTCGTCATCATCCGTGGTGACGTTGCTGCTGCTATCGATGACGTGCCCGAAAATGAGCTGGCACTGGAAGCAAATGTCTAAAGCAGCTTGCATTTGCTTGACCTTCTGTGCAGCGTGGGTGGAAACTGCAAATCAATTGGAAATATGTTGTACAGTTAGCTTTAGTATAGCTCCTTTTGCACACATACCGTCTGCCAGAAATTCGTGCAATGAGATGCGCTCCAATTGCACCACCAGCAGATCCCGCACCTCCTTCAAGCTCTCCAAGATTTGTGTGGCCTTCTCGTAGTGGTATTTGCACAGCTGCAGCGTCGACTTGGGCAGCTGGGACACATCACAAACGCCATGGCCACGCAGTTGCGCATAGTGAAACGAGGCAATGCTGCAATGAACAGGATGCTTATTAATTATAAAATCTGGTTGCATGCCAGGTTAAATAGATTACCGCTTGTGTATCAGACCCGAGCGAAAGCTATAGAGCACTTGGCGTGCGCCTGCATGATCCACATCGCATAGGCGTAATGATTTTTGTAGCAATTCTAGCACCTCCTTGGATGCCTCGGCCAGGCTGCTTTTGTCGGCTGCACTGTAGTCCTGCAGCTGCTTGGCCAATGTAAAGGTGGCCGTCGATAGCTCCCACTGCACCAGATCCCAGAGCTCTGCATTGGCTTTCCTTGTGTCCAGGCAGTCCTTGGCCTTCTCATAGTAGTTGAAGGCCTCATTATAAAAGGTTTTCTGTGTGTCCAAGGCAATGGTGCTAGAAATTAGAACAGGATAATTAGAGTGAAAGTCTAAAGTTGATAAATTATATACAAACCTTTCATTGGGCATGGTTAAGTGTGCACGCAGACGCATAAATCTGCCCATGTTGCAGTAGAGAAACGCCAGATTCACATTATCCTGAACCGCTGTGAAGGCCTCAATGCCACGACGCAGACAGTCATACGAATTGACCGTCAGTTTGACATACAAAGGCTCCGCCGCAGCCGCAACAGTCTCAGTTTTTGCATCCAATTCAGATTTCGAATGATCCTCAGAACCCGCCTCCTTTTTGCGTTTCATTTGGCTGTACTCCTCTGCAAGGCATGTGTATTAGTTGGTGCATCAGTCAATGAGTAGAAGGCTAAATAAAAAACTCACCCTGAGCCGAGTACATGTACTTGAGACCCAATTCGTTGCGCACATTGCCCAAGCGACGCAGCAGCTCATTGCTCTCCGCGCTCTGGGCGTGCTCCAGCGCATCTTCGTAGCATTTGCAGCTGTGCAACATAACCTTTTCGACATTCTTGACAGGCGCCAGCGTGAGCAGCTCTGATTCTTCCAATTCTTGGGCCAGCTCATCGCTTATCTGACACGTGGGCTCATCCAGCTGCTCATATTGCTGCACATACTCCTCAATAGCACTCCAGTGCTTTGAGATTTGAAAGAAACAGTCGCCGGCGCGGCCCAGCAGACAGCTCTGCTGGGAGACCACATTGGCCATATACTTGTTGAGCACTTGCTGGCAGCGACAGGCCAGCTCAATGGCACGCAGCGTGCTGCCATAGATCTGGGCTTCGTAATAATGCTCTGCCAGCGTGGCATATGTCAGGCAAGCCTTCTCTAGCAGCAGCAGCTTAAGATGCACATTCCATGAACCAAAATTTTGACTATTAAACTTGGCGCTGAGCTTCTGATTGCAGCTGACAGCTGCGGGCTTGTTGCTGCTGTTGGTGGTGGCCAGTTCCTTGGACTTGCTGCGTTTGCTCTTCGTCTTAATGGAGCGCTTCTTGGACTGCGCCTGGGCTGGCGGCTGAACAAGCTGAAGCTGCTCGTAGGGCAGTGGTATAGCATTGAAGGGCTTGGCCATGTTGGGATTCTGCTCTTCGTGCAGAATGCGCTGCTTCTCCTCTTGCTTGGCGTGCATTTCCGACTCCTTCAATTTCTCCTCCTGATTGTCATTGAAGTATTGCAAACATGAGATGCCCGCGCTGATGTGCTGCAGCGAAATCTTGCAGCGATCCACGGTGCTGGCTATTAAGGGCGCCGGTTTTGATTGCTTGGCGTGCGATTTGAAGTCCCGCAAAGCGTCACAAATATGTCGAACCGCAACATTCGCTTTGCCACCGCTTTGCGCTGCGCTCTGATAGTACTTGTCATGACCAAAGTCGAGCGGTGGCTCGTCATCGTAATCCTCTGCATCCTCATCATCCTCGTCCTCGTCGTCGTCAGCATTGAAGAGCGAAGGGGAGTCGTTGAATTTGGGCGCCTTTGGATCTATGCCTGCGGGCACATGCAAGTCGGAGAGTATATAGTGGGAGGAGCTGACAATTTGTGGATACTGCTCTTTGGGCAGTAGCTTGATGCAGTTGTCCAGCAGGGCACGTATATTGCCTGCCGTCTTGGGCGTAATAGGTTCCAGTGTGTTCTTCATGTTGCGTGCCACGGAGTACAGCAACATGCCCACCGGCACCGTAAACGGATTCATTTCATGCTGCTGTTGTTGTGTTTGCGGACGCTCTGACTCGGCTGTTTTGTTTTGATTATGACAGAGCGTAGTGAGATCATAGAGTTTGACCACGTCATCATTGCGGCCCTTGAACAGCCAATAGGTGTGACCCGCCTTGGTGGCGTTCGCCTTGAGAAAAGCCAAAATATTCTGCGCCACGTTGCGCACAACCTGTGGCGAGAATTGCGAGTTCTCCAGATAGGGCAGGTCCTCAGTCTTGATGATCTCATATTTCTGCACAATGCCATCCAAATGGTAGCACATGACCACCTCGGGCACATTGCACATCAGATTGTCTAGCCAATAATCAATGCCAGTTAGAACATTGATGGGCTGCGCCGCGTCACGTAGTCGCAGGCTAATGCACGGCCTGTTTGGCCCACCAAAGATTGGCATATCAGTGCCAATCAGCATGCGTATATCCTCAAAGGTCCACACGACATTGCGATTGAAGGCATGACTGGACTTGGGATCGGGCACATTCTCCTCGATCTTCGGTTCCGGCAGCACGGGTCCAATGATTGGCAAGCTAGCGCGTCTGCTGGTCAGCAGCGTGGGCGCATTGGTATCGTAATCCGTATTGCCAGTCTGTTTCAGACTATGGTATAGAAACTTGGAGAGCAAATTCTTTGTTTGCAGCGCCTCGCGTGAGCGCTCCTTGAGGCAAAAATTGTGCTGCTCCTCGCCATAGGCCAGAATGTGCTCCAGTATAAAGGTGCGCAGCCACTTCCAATCATCATCCGACTTGCGCAGCAAATACTTTTGTATATCGAACTCGTCCAGCAGCAGTGTGTTGCCCACCTTGTGGACAACCATGCTGATGGCGCTCTTGGCGCTGTAAGGCAGTTTAAGTAGCTGTTTGATATTCTCGGCATCCGAGACGACGTCCACCTCGCCCACACAATCGGGAAACATTTGTCCCAGCCGGAAGCTGGCGAATCCTGCGCTCTGATACAGCGCCTGATGCAGTCCATGGCTACTGTGTGAGGTGGTCAGCCAGTTGAGTGGCGGTAGATTAAGATTAGTGTTACATTCCAGGCGCTTGAAATGCGCAGGCACCTGCACGGGCGACAGTTTTATAATGGCCTGACTTTTCACTGCCTCCAGCTCGTGCGGCCCAATGCTGCGGCAGGGTTCAATCTGAAATACGCTTTCGTTAATATCACGAATATTATAAAGTATATTTGCTTACCTCTTCGTTGCTATCTTCCATTGCATTGATTATTCATTTCAATTTTCACACTAAAACAAAATTGTTCACGAATATTCCACAAGGTAGGCGTTTATTATGCCGGCAAACAGCTGTTGCATAGCTGCCATCCCTGGTTACGACAGGGTTGCCACCGCTCAGCAAACAAAACACGCAGCTATCAGCTGTTGGCCGCACTCTTTTTTTCTTTCCAACACACAGAAACATTAAAAACAGCATTATTTGTAGAAAACTAACACAAACAATATGCAATTGTTTATATTGATAGCGCTGATGTGCCTGATTAACACACTCCTGCCGGACTTCATACGCAACTATGTAACTAGAGTAGCTAACGTAAAAGCGACCAGCCTTAACCAAATGCACTTTCGCCACAGGTCAAATTATCTCGTTTTTGGAAGGGAACCACAACAAGCACACTTTTACAAGCAGAACTGGATGCAGCACGCGAGGAGCTGAACAATGTACACAGTGCCCAACATGCCGGCGAATATGCCCGGAAAATAAAGACAATGCGTGCCGAGCGCAAAGTTACCGATGCCGAGATCAAAATAAGATCGACCCAACAAATGGAAGTCCTCAAACAGTCAACCATCGATACGGTGGCCTACTATGTGTCGAAGGTTCTCTTCTCGCTGGTCGTTATCGTAGTGTGTGCCCGCCATCGTCAGACGCCTGTGATGATCTTCGATGACAGCTTTAGTCTGGCGCCGCTGACCGGCCTGCTCAGCTTTCCCACTGGTGTATACAATGCTATCTCGGTGCCCGCCTGGGCATTCTCATGTAATTTTACGTTTCGCCTGTTGTACGGGCTGGTAAAGAAGTGACTTGTGTGGAATGAATCGTAATTTTGGATTTTATTGCAACTAAGTTATCTGTTAAATGTGCTCGATATATTTTGCTTAGCTTCATCACGGTTTTAACAACAAAATACATAAGACAAATATGTATTTTTCACACAATAATTCGTTAAAATGATTTTGCAATATTCGTGAATACAGTTTCAAAGCACGCGCTAGTGATTATGGTGAATATCGCTAAAACTATCGATATGCCAGTGAGCACTTGGGGCTGGCAAAGTTTTGACCAAGCTGAAGTTTTCAAAATTCGAACAATTTCTACGTCTACTTTTTCATTTTCATGAATATTATTTGTCACTGATAACCAATTACACACTTAGATAATAATTATTTGGATTTCTCTTAACAATGCGGTTAATCGATAACACATTCAGTTCTTTCACCCCTAGTTATCGAAATCAGTTTGAAACATCGTTGCTTGCTGCCATCCCTAGTTCAAAGTTATTTGAGTTTCAGTTGAGGTGCGTAAAATTGTGTATTTTTCCAAGCTCACTTCGACAAAATGGATAAATTAAATGAAAATGTACGCGATAAAAAGCAAATTAAGCTGGACGATATCGATGTGACACCCATATTGGCCGCGCTAATATTGGGCTTCATTGTAGTCGGTAAGAGAGCACGCCACGTAGATGGACAACAACAGTTTGTTGATGCTCCCATTCAACTATTTTAGCTATTTATGTCATTTTGCGGCGACGCTCCGCGGGCAGACGTGATTTTTTGCTAACCGGTCTATGCGAGGCGGGCAAAAGCGCCATATTTATGCAGTTGGTGCATGGCAAATTCCCGGAAACATTCACATCCATCAAAGAGAATGTGGGCGAGTACCGTTCGGGGCATGTGGCCGGACGACTTGTCGACATTCCGGGACACTATCGCGTGCGCGACAAGTGCTTCGAGCTATACAAACGCAATGCCAAGGGCATAATATTTGTGGTGGACTCGGTCACCGCTCAGAAGGATATTCGTGATGTGGCGGAGTAAGTGCACTTGTGGGGATAGTCTAATGCACACTCTCTAACAAGCTCTATATTATAGCACATTGTACACCATTTTGGCGGATAGCGCCACACAGCCCTGCTCCGTGCTGGTGCTGTGCAACAAGCATGACCAGACGACGGCCAAGAGCGCACAAGTTATCAAGAGCTTGCTGGAGAAGGAAATGTAAGTTCTTTGAAACGTGCACTGGCCACATCTAATGATTGCCCTTTGTTCCTTGCAGTAACACAGTGCGCGATACGCGCAGCCGCAAGCTGCAGTCGGTGGGCGATGATGAGGTAAACAAACCCGTCATATTGGGCAAACCGGGTCGGGACTTTGAGTTTGCGCACATTACGCAAAATGTGCAGTTCTACGAAGGTTCAGCTAAGGATAACCAACTGAATCATCTCACAGATTGGATTGATCGCATGTTGTAAATGCAGCTGTAAGCCATGAGGACTGAAATATCATCCGCAACGGAATCAATAATAAAACACATGGATATTTATAACTGAAACTCTCGAGAGTCAAAACCCTTAAACTGTTAAATCCTTTCAAATAGCGCCTGTCTTGTTCCTGCTTCCCTGTAAATCTACATTTAGGTTTATATTGAATTTTTTATAATTATATATATAGGTCTTTTCAATAAGATTTATAAAACGAAGAACTGGTTTTTTTAAATTTCGCGAATTGTTGGGCTACAACTTTCTTTACAATATGAAAGTCGGGAGTTCCCTAAGCTGTGCAAGTGAGAGGCACTTGCGACTATGCCCGAAATATATATACATTAAAATAAGATATGGTATTTTTCGTAACCCCAAGTCTGGAAAATAATTTATGGGCATTTTAAAAACAATTATATATGCAGCTCGATAATGCACTGCTTGCTGCACTGCTTATTCATATAAATTCGAACAGCCTGATAGTATGCAACATAAAATACTTATTACACAGGTAAACACTTAAAATGGGTTTAAATGGGGAAACAATTGTGAAAAGGAGTCAAAATGAACTTTAGAGAAAAATCTTAAGCCCTGAACACTAAACTATATTGAAAGAACGAACACAGTGAAGCTTACGATCAAGATTCATACCGCCTTTTGGTTGCTTTTTCGCCTGAAACTCTTTTTTGCTCCAATTCCAGCAAAAGGGGAAACACAACCAACTGGCCCAGTAACCAAGTTGGGCAATAAGCTAAATGTTTGGCGCATGCGCAAGCTTTCAAACCTTTTTAGCGATTTGAAACCAACGGCAGCAGCTGTCAGCTAAGCCGAACTGTCCGAACCATCGATCAGTTGACCGGCCAAAGATCAAACAGCCGCCATAAAAATCAATGAGCTCGGATCTGCGCTGAGCTCCTCTGACTAGATAGAATTTCTAGGCTGGCCAAAAATTCTAAGAATTGGTAGCTTTTATGATTTGCCGAACTGTGGATCACGGGAAGTGTACCAGGGCGGATGTTTGACGTTCAGGTCTCGTGTGGCTGCTGCTGATTGGTGCCGATGCCGGGCAGCTGCCATCAAATTTTTAAAAGGCATCTTTGGTGGCATCTCGTCTGATCGCTGGCAGCAGCGAATTTCGAGGAAAAGCGCGAGCACTCAGCTGAACCACAAGCGCCATGACTGCTCACTGGCTGACTGATCAATAAAACTGACGACCCACAAATCCAAGTATAGATTTCCCCAACTATGCGAAGCTATTTTTTGCCACTCGCTGCTGTCCCAAAGTTGAGTTGCGCTATGCTTGGCACAACATGCGCTTTGCCACTTGTTGCAGCAATTTTGCATATCCAGCCCCGCCAGACAGCGAGCACTTCCTGGCATTGTTGAGCTGGCTACCCACTCGCCAGCTGCAGCACATGGCAGCCGTGATTCGGTGTCATGTGCATTCGAGCACGTGCTACACGCAGCTCAGACTTTTTTACAGCTGCAGACGACGACGACGACGACGAGGACGGGGACAATGAATGCGTTCCATATGTTTCAGACACGCTTTAGCCAAGCGGAAGAAGCGCCTTTTAGAGACGTCTCCGACCTGGTCTGGTGCCGCTTGGCGCGTACACAGTAGCCGTTAATTATGCACAGCTGATTAGGCAGACAAATGCAACAGGCGGATTTTGTACCCTGCCTCTTGCTAGGGTGGAGACCCCGTTTGACCAAAAAGAAAAAATACGATATGGCCGAATCGGCTCGTGTTACCGATTTTGGGCTGCCAAAAAATTCACTGGAACACCAGACGCCGACGAGTTGTTTGGGGCTCGTCTCTGTGTGTCCTATTGAATTACACGGGCGTAGCAGACCGTTAGCGGACACAGTCTTGGCTTAGTTGACTTGACTGGGCAATAAATCTGTGTTAATTTTTGAACAAAATATATATTTTAGAAAGTAAATATGCGATTTATGTGGCTGACGGGCGAAAGAGGCGCGCGCGACTGCCACTGCAACTGCCACGGCAACTGCAACTGCATGTATGTATATATGTGTATATATGTCTAATATTTTAATAAGCCTGCACCGCAATTACGCAGCCTGGTGGTGCCGCTGGGCGGCGGTTTAAAGTTTTTATGTACACAGCCGCGACGTTTTGTGGGTTTTCTTTTTGCGTAGTTGAGGGCGACGGGCGAGGGGCGACGGGCGATGTGCTGCAGCTGGGTCTGGTTGGGGCATCGCTGTCCGCCACATATGCAATTTATTTTAACACATCGTTAAAGCTCAACAAAAAATAAATCTTGACGCGCCGGACACTGCAATTATCACCTCTGCATAATCAGCAATGCAACAACAACAACAGCAAATTGAGCAACAAGGCAACATCGAACAACGAGAGCAACGCATGCCCCCCGGGTGTGCAACATGGCCCAGGCCCAGGCCCAGGCCCAGACCCTGGTCCAGAGCCGCGACAGCTGCCACAACAGCATCAGCAGACGCTGTTAGCTTTCATTTTTTGGCACTGCCCGGCCCACGCGGCCCTCAGCGTTGCCCCCAAGTGCCCAGAGTGTGAACGCATGTATGTAGCTCGCATATAATGGCAGCCCATTTAGCACCTTGTTGACGCGGCATCTAATTAAACGCCAGATCCCGGTGCGAGGCTGCCTTTTCAGCTGATTTCCGATGCAATTTTCATGTAACGCCAAATTGTAGCGCCTCGAATGCTGCTGATGCCCGGGCCGAAGATTGGCAGCCTCTGCTTGTCATCACCAGCAGGAAGAGTTCTTTTTTTTTTGGTTTGGTTTTTATTTTCGTGATTTGGCGCTCGCTTTCGGCCAGAGACTTTCTCATCGGTGGTTGCTCGGCTTAAAGCCAAATTGATGATTATTTTCTGATTTCTGTGCATACAATTTCTTGATTAATTATAATGCTGAACCCACCCAGCAGCTGCGAACTTTGTAGCCAAATTGGAGCTTTGTTGCCCATAAACGTTTCTCATGACACGATGCGATGCGAACCCCTCAGTCTGCGGCCATGCGCCTAATTATGGGTTAGTCACTGGCAGAGACGTCTACGGGCTGCACCCTGCAGCTCACTGTGCGTGCTCCCGAAACTGGAGCCATGCGTGAGATTGTTTGCATTGGCTTGGAATGCAGCCAACATGGTAGCTGGTAGCTGGTAGCTGATAGCTGGCAGCCTTTCATGTCAATTGCACATCACGCGCTGTTTCATTAAGTTTTATTTTTATAGGAAATTATATTTAAATGCAATAATTTGGCAGTAGCCAAATGAAGGGGTCTCCAAAAGGGTTTTAGGGGCTTTAAGACAGTAGCGTTATAAAGTTATTTCAAGGTTGCACTTTTCTTAGCCAAATTTCAATGCGAAGTTGAGGGATTGCAGCCCCGGTGAGAGACAAAAGGAATCTCACAGTTTCTATAAAATCATGCAATAATCATATGAACTTAAGATTGTTGGAGCTTACAATAGAATATTTAACAAGAACCAAACTTAGAAACGAATTAGCTGGATAAAAAACAGCCGAAGCCGAAGCCGAATCGAACCACTTTTCCTTCAAGAACTGGTTTGGGGTAAAATTAAACTTTATAAATTGCAATTGATTCAATAATTTGATAGAAAATTTCAATATCACAAATTTGCAATTTAAATTTGAAATTAAGAATTTGAATGTAAATTCTTTAATTGAATTTTATTGAAATGTGTAAGAAGTGTGGGAATTAGATTCGTACCAATATCTGGAATCATAAATGTGAAAAACCTAGTTCACGAACCAAACCTAAAGGTGAAGCATTGCTTCCAGCCGCGAATTGAATCAGTTAACATATTTGTTGAGGAATACTCCATATCAGTAAAAGCTTTATGGGCTCATATCTCATCCATACCATATCTATATCATTCAAAAGCCTTAAGCTAAACTCTAGCAATTTATTTTACCTTGAGGAAGACTCAATATCTTCCTGAGCTTTAAGGCTTCATATCATATTCCTATCATATCCATATCAGCCATAACTTAAAATCTAAGACCAACACTTTTTCTTTAACTAATATTTTTTGTTGTATTTATCTACTGATTATTTTTATTAAAAATAATATTTCACTTCCACTTCCAAGCTTCATTTCCAGCCATTTCCAGTGTCTAACACCCAAATATGTTTTCAATTTCAAGCCCGAAATATTGAAATATTATCATAATCGCTTCCATTTACTGGGCACCACCTCAGATCTCTCTGCTAAAGTGTGGGCCATAAACAAGTGCGGCCTCCGTCATCTAAATGCAAATGCGCAACAAAATTGCTTAAACACGCTCCACAAGCCGCACAGTTGGCCGAGAGAGTGCGGGGGATGGCAGCTGGGAAGGGGGTGGGCAGAGCTAAACGGGTACGATATGGTTATGTTAGAGGTCCATCGTTGCGGCACGCTACTCTGCCTATCAAAGGCTTTTGACTTTGGCAAATTAATCAACAGTCGAAAGGCAGGGCGGGACAGAGTAGGGTGGGATAGGTAGGGTATAATTCCGTATGTCCAAAGCGCCGGCGCAGAGCACAAAATTCAAAGCAAGTACAGGGGAGTGAGTGTGTGTGTGTGTGTGTGTGGCGGTCACACTTTTGATTTTCTATAATTTGAGGCTTGGCTCGGATCGGTGCGCTGCCAGCCGAAAACATGCGCGGTCAGTCGTGTGCGGCGTAAGGCAACCAAATGTATCGAAATGCAACCGACCGATATAATTGCGTTTTTTCGTGAATATATTCACACACACACACACACACACACACACTCTCGCACACACACTCCACATATGAACATGTTTGGCCGAGCGACACGCGCAACAGTCTTCATATGTAAAGCACATGATTTTCCAATTGGAAAATTAGTCGCGTGTGTTTGCGTTCCTGTCTGTGTGTGTGTGTGTTTGTTTGTCTGCAAATAGGGTTGGCGGCCAGCTGGCAGAGGCAGAGGCTCTGTGTGGAGGCGGGGGGTGTGGGAACGGCTTCAATGGCAGCGCACGCGTGGCCAGCCCGGCATAAAGGAGGCGGCGGCAAGCGAGGCGCAACCAGCGGCAGCAGCAGCAGCAAATGCCAAACCAATTGAGACGAACGTTTTGCCTCAGCAATTTGTGGCAAACGTTCCAAAAACCTCGAAAAAAATTCAAAACAATTTTTAGCACAGCGACCACACACAAAGCGCGAGCGAGCGAGAGGG